TTTCTATGGTTGGCAAGCATTGGTGTTAGGCTCATATAATAAAGAATTATAATGAAAGGGAAACCTCATAATTGAAAGGACACTCACAAATAGTCTGTGGTCCTACAATTGGACACAGAGCCAAACATTGTCACACACTTTAAAAAAAAAATCAACCGGCACTGAGCTTGTAATGTATATTTTATTTTGCACAAGCTTGCATATATACTGCACATACATTCAGTTTAAGAGAAGAAGGAAGGCACACAAGGCAATTGGACTACTGTATCCTTTAAATGGTACAAAGCAAAAAGGTAAAAGTTTGGAGAGTATACAAAAGCTTAAAACACACAAAGTAAAATCCCGTCCCACCCACCCCCCAACAACTTTCTTTTTTTTCCTCTTTTAAAATTTAGTAGCTGCCAAACTAAATTTTTTTTTACTTTTACTTTAAAATCAATTGTCTACTGCACCTTTTTTATTTTCTTTTTAATATGGACAGGGAGTTTCATTGTTTTTATCATATCAATTAATATTACAGTACATCCTTGGTAATACAAAATTGTACACCTTCATCAAATAAATTAGGATAAATTAAACCAATAAATTATGCAAAGTCTTCAGAACAATAGACAACAACAAAAATCCACAATTGAAATTGCCTCTAGCTAAAACAAAACAAAACAAAACAAAAAATTGACTTATCAGTTCAATTATTCTACTATATTTAAATCAAAGGGTCTTTATTACAAAAAAAAAGAGCTTAATAATGCTATTTACAACATATTGCTAAATAATATAAAGGCAGTGTTTTATCACGGTTTATAACTATGTACATATGAGAAATGGCTGGGAAATATCAGGGGAAGCCACAATCTTTAATTAATTAGGTAGTACTGAGACCAACCCCAAATACAATGCTTTTTTCTAACTCTAATTTTGAAGTGGTCATATACAATTTAAAAACCCTTTTTCTTTCCTATACGGAGGAACTGAGTGTTAAAAAAATACAGATGAATATATAGTCACTAAAGAAGGCCAGTCTGTTTGCCTTTTCAGCTCCTGTTCTGTGCGTTTTGGGGGTGTCAGATTTGAGAGAGGGCTCAGTTGAAAAGACTTAAAGTCCAGATGCTTCCAGAGTCTGTTATATTCTTAGAAGAATAATTATAAGAAGATGCAAAGGTTAAATACCAGTTTGGATCCCAGCTTTGAAAGTGAGCATTTCAACTTAAGTTTTATAGATGGTTTATAACCAGCAGGTCTACAGAAAACTGTATTTCCTTCAAAGTAACATTTAAGTGCAATACAGTAGCTGCTTACTCATATAAACCAGTTACTTTTTTTTTTTTTTTCAAGGGGAGCTTTTTGAAAACAATGCTGCTTGTAATTTACAAACACAGTTTGTACCAGATGGAAACCTGTACCATTCACATCAATGAATGTAATATACATGGCAACGAGATTTTCCTCTGTCCTTAAATATACAGTGCTGCTTTCAGGGAAGTCTGTAAACTTTGATAGATTTATTACTTTTGGGGTACAGCCTATTTTTAAAGTCCCCAAATCTTTAGCTTTATGACTTAATATTAACCTGTGTGTTTGTGTGTGTGTGGGGGGGAGGGTGGGATGGGGTGGGTAGATGGGAAGTAGGGGTTATTTATTAAATGTCTTCATGTACATAGAAAAGAAATTTCATACATTTACAGAAACTGCATTGCCCTTGCCCTTGACATCTGATGAAAGAGTGTTATCTTTTAAAAGTAAAGAGCAGGATTTTCAAGAATGCTTTCAACTGTCTATAGTGTTCTTAATAAATTCAACAGATGTGAGAATATAGTTATTTATTAAAATCTCATGTCTTACCTAACAACAGCCATGAGGTTAAATATTTACATTGCTTTATAAAAGTTCCCCTCTTGGTTTAGTGTTTTGTTGGGTTTTTTTTTTTTTTTTTAATAATTTTTAAAAATGATCTTCACCCACATCCCTAGTACAGTAACAAAGATTCTGCAAACATAAAACACTTTAATTAAATAATACTCAGAGGCACAAAGCAAACTTCAGGAATATGTGGGTGAACAGTTCCTTAAATAATTACTACATTCTAACATCTTCCACGTGTTTTACCATTTAATGTGAAACGTCCAGAGATACAGTGAGAATGAAATGTTTTGTTGTTGCAAATAGAACATTCTTTTCCACAAACATAACAAATGTTTAAAATAGGTTCTTAAATCTAGATAGGAAAAGGTAAGCTTTCCACTTCACACGCATATATATAGTGTATATTTTACATGTGTGTATATGTGTGTATGTGTTCTTATGTGCACATAGCTGTACACACATATATAGCACATGGTATGAAATATTGCTTCTATACTACTTTTCATTAGGCTAAGAAAACACAAGATTTGCACCACAGTTACAAAAAATTGGCTTCTACAAGAATTTTCCAAACTTGAATGCTGCTCAAACAATTGAGGAAAAAATAATTTGCGGTATCAAACTGTTCTAAAAATTCTCTTCTTCAAAAACGTATTCTCCCGCTTTTTTAAAAAGACACAAAATATGCATAGCTATTAATGTTATGTCAAACAGCCAGGGAAAAAAAATCTAGTGTTTATTGCAGCTGTAGTAATTGGAAATAAAATAAAAAAGATGAGATTGAAAGCCACAGAAGGCACAAGAACAATTGTACTTGTGGGGAAACACTGGTATTTTGAAGGATTTAAAAAAATCCCCCCGCTGGTGCAGTTTAGGTCTAGGCACAAACTATACCCTCAAATGAATATGCAAGAAATAATTTAGGGTTAGCAGAAAAGAAGTAGTGATGGTGCATTTCAACATGGACTTTAGACCCCCACCCCCCACCCCCCATAGAAACCGTCCCTCACACTTAAACTTACAGTGAAAGAAAGTTAACTTTCTCCCAAATAGCCAATTTTCCCTTTGAGAGAGTTAGTTGAGCTAACATTTTAAAAATAGTGATTTATTTCTTTCTCAACTGTTAATTAAATAGGTGGGTTTGAGAGACAGACTTTCATTATTTCTCAATGCACTTGGAGTCACAAGATTTCATGACTGTAAAGGGGATACACCACTCAAAAGCCATGTGAGGGGCATCTATTTTCAGAACAAAAGAAGTGAGTTTGTCCCCATGATGCAGTTTACACTCTGAAATAATTTCTCAGCCTCAGCGAAAACTGACGTTATTAATCAGTAGATAAGGGCATCGCCATTTGGTTGTGAACAGACACTTTTGCTTAATTTGCCTATTTAAGTGAGAAAGGCAAGGAAAAAGAATACTCAGAGTCCAAATAAAGTCTGAAATTAATGTTGAATTTGCCCCAGATCAAGAAGACAGCTATCATAAGTTCATCTACACTGTGGCTTTGCCTTTCACCTTGCAAATGGCAACACAGTGCTGATATGACTTACATGGAACGCAAAGATCTAAGTGGATACTGATGTGAACAGTTGATTGCCACTCTCTTTCACCTGAAGTCAAGAGTGAGACCACAAATTAAGACTACTTCCCCACTTTGTGCTGAAGGATTTGTTTCTTGGTTTTGGGCATCTTATTCCAATGTACTGATTATCTTGTTTTGTTTTAAGCAGCAAGAACAATTGGATCTAATGACTCTGTGTGTATGGTGTAGGAATGCAAGGTGGGAGATCTCGTTGGCTTTGGTCAAGAGTGAAGGGGTTGGTGCTCCATCCCATGTCGCTGCCTGCTCTGTCCACATGGTGAACATAGGCTAGGTTCCCAAATGATGGCAGGGCAACATACGACTGTACAGCTTTATTTAAAGTCAGCAGGTTTTAAGGCTTTGTGCTGACAGTAATTGCATTCATACATTCCTGTCCATCGGCAGAATTTGTAAATGATGTGAAATTAGTCAGCAGGGTCAGCTAGTTAGTCAGCTGGGTCAAGTTGTATTCTTCAAAATCAGATGTTAATTAAAAAAAAAATTTTTTTAACTTAAGGAAAATATAGTATTTATGTTCTTAGGATCTAAATACCAGATTTGCCACTGTATCATTTTAGGATGTGGATATCAAATTATCTGAGGGGAGGGAGGGGCCTGGAATACACTGTTAGCAGGATCAATGAATTCTTACTGCATCTGCACTCAACCCATCTAAGAAAAGGACAAGTGTGAATGCCGCCAGATGTTCTCAAAAGCAGGCATGGGATGTTGTACACCTTAGACAAACTGGGGGAAAAGAAAAAGAATGAAGAGGAGAAACCATTGAAGAAAGCATAAAATAGCAGCTAGCTTTGTTATGTGTGCTGAAATTGTGTCTTTTGGGTTAATCCCAAACTTTCCTATGCTATACACTCTTCTCACATTTTGGTCAATCCTAGCTTCTGAATAAGAAGAGACTTTATCAATTGTTTTAAAATGCTGTACTTAAAACAAAGAAACAATTAGACTGTGACCACTTTCAATACCTATCAAGGTGGGTGTGGAATTGTTTATGAAAATAGGTCATGCTCATATGTGTTCCTCCTAGCAGGTTAGCTGGTGGGTGTCAGCAAACTTCTAGTGTTAACAGGAATTGTATGGCCAAGAGGGGATTTTCCTTTATTCCTTATTGTAGAAAGGTATTCAGAAAATAGTGTTTCAGGGAAAAGAGATAGTGTTAAATAGTAAACAGAAATAATAATCCTTTGAGGCATATAAACCAAGTTGAGCAAAGAGTACATTGAATATTTATGCACCTTTTAATATCTGAAGTACGATGAAGGTAAATAGAAATAACAGATTAGGATTTTCCTCTGTGAAGAATGATAGATGCTCACTGATTATGAAGAACAACATATTGTACAATTAAGAGAGGTGGTTAGAAGATATCCTGTATGAATTTCCAGTCTCAACTGGGAAGAGTCAGCTTTGTGCAAAATTGCTTTGCTTCCATAAGAAACTGGTACTTGTTTGGGGTGGCTGCCACTTCTCTTAGGAAAAACTTGAGAGTTAACGATTATTTTTCTTTTGGAATTTGGTCCTTTGGGGTACAGTTTTAAACATGTAAGAAAAATCAACGCCACGAGTTCAAACCAAGTATTTAAATTTCTGAAGTGGTTTCATTGAATTTTCAGTCCTCCTTAGCAGTAAAACGATGAGACACATCACTGTAGAATTGTGTTGCGTCACTGGGCTCCCCTTGGTCAACGACATTTGCAAAAGTCATCAATCAAGCACAGGCATTGTTAACAAATACCCTTCCTTGCTAATATCGACTTTATACACATCAACATTTCTTTTCCCTGAAAATCAACCCTATTTTAAGTCTTCAAATGTTAAGGGCCTTGGGCAAAAATAAACTGAAAATGGAAGGAAAATTACCATCCCCTTGCAATGGAAAACAAAAGAAATGAGGGAAAGGTGAAGAGGAGGAATTACCAGCTGATTTCATAACACATCCATGCCTCCCATACACATATATATGAAATCAAAGTGTAGACACATATAACTTAGACAGCCAAAGGGGACCGCTACTATTCAGACATTCAAAAAGAGTTGTTGAAATTTCTACTCATGAAGCAGCTCTTGTAGGCAGTTTGGGGATTTGAAAATCTCAGGGACTTCACTATCCAGCTTGCAGATGACCTTGTATATGGCCTTCTTCCAGGAAGGATCAACATCTTTGCCTGCGATAATGGCATTGAAAAACTCCCGTAACGTGATCTGCGCAACTTCCAGGAATCTCTCTGGAACCTGCTGATACAAGGAGACAATGGCATTAATAAAGTTTTCAGTTTCAAGTCTCCAGTTCTTCAAAGGATATTGAGCTAAGTTCTTTCTTTCAGAGAGGGGCTTACATGGCACCTGCATTTTCTAAAAATGGCCGGCAGGCCTCTATTCTCTTATGTAAAGTTGTTATATATAGTAGCATTGTGATGCGGAGTTGGCAGCTTAGTAGAGTTTTAGAATGAGGCGTGTGCAAAAGGCACATGCAGAACTACTGAAAAACTAGGAGTCTAGTGTGAATATTAGGGTCAAGAAAAGGGGGCGTCACTGTGGGAAGAGATTCTTAATGGCTCTTAATAACAACAAAACAGTAACTCCTGAAGATGTCTGCAACTGATTTTCAGAGTTTGCATCATATTTCTTTTTGCTTTTCATGATGAAAACAAAATGTGCTCTCAAAAGTAAGACAGCAAATAACTGGGTTTCGATATAAATAAAACTCAGACTTTAAGTAAGAAACTTTCTAAAAATTTCAGTTTCTTGCTTGCTGACCCAAATGCTGAATTGTGTATTAAGAGTAATCTGCAACATAAAGTGCTCTACTTACATAATGGAGTAAGATAATACCATTAATACTTGGTCACAAAATAGAAAATTTGTAATTAATCCTAAAACACTACATCAGAAACTCACTTTATCTTGAGATCAAATGAGTTCCAAAAGACATCTAAAATAATAATAATAATAAAAGCTGGCATTTACTGAGTACTTAATATGTACCAGGCCTACTGAATATGTTATGCCATTCAATTCTCCCAACATCTCTCTATTGTTACCCCCACTTTGAAATGAGACCATTGAGGCTGGGGGAGGGGAGATCAAGGGAATTGTGTAAGGTCATTTATTTTTTTGCCCAAATATTCCTTTTGGAACCTCCATTTGTTAAACCTTTTCTTGCACAGCAATCTCTCTCTGTGTGTACAGCTTTCTGTGTATCTAATAATCTTAACTTCTTGACTAAGCAGAGTGGTAACTACTGATGAATCTATTTAGCATTCTTTGAAAGTTACTCATAGTGAAGCAAAACCTATCTTACCCAAAATCAAGATAATAGATTCACAGAATCCTTCCATAACTCATATTTTGGCAAGTATACAATGACACTTAGTAGATTTATTTTAGTAGGGTACATTGTTGCTCTTGTTAAGTGCCATCAAGTCGGTTCTGACTCATAGCAACTCTGTATCGGGTTTCCAAGGCTGTAGATCTTTGTAGGAACAGATAGCCACATCTTCCTCCCATGGAATGGTTGGTGGGTTCTAACTGCTAACCTGTGGTCTGAAGTCGAGTACTTATCCTACAGAGCATTGTTTTATTTTCACATTAAGTTTAGAACCATGAAAAAGTAAATGCCCTGTAGTTATATGTGTAGGCAGATCTACACAGTGAAAGAGATGAAAAGTTTTCAGTTCCAACATGCCACTTGTTGTTGTTGTTGTTAAGTGCCGTCGAGTCGGTTCCGACCCATAGCGACCCTGTACAGGGTTTCCGAGGGTGTAAATCCTTACGGGAGTAGAAAGCCTTATCTTTCTCCGTAGAACAGCTGGTAGTTTCAAACCGCTGACCTTTAGGTTCGCAGCCCGATTCGTAACCACTACGCTACCAGAGCTCCTTACCCCAGGTTAAAGGGAAGTATTGTCATTATCGAACATGTTCAGTTCTCTTCTCCCCACTTTTCTCAATGGTTGCAAAGGAGATTTTATAATGGTACTCAATTACTCACAAAAATGAGAGTTATCACCAAACAACTCTGCTTTTCACCTTTAAAACTGGACAAACAAGGTCACTGCTTTTAATGACAAATCACTTGTCTCTTATAAAGAAACTTAATAACTCCTCAGAAAAAAATAAAAGAGCTCCCCTTCTGGGGCTAAGAGGGTTTAAGAAAAGTGAGGATTTTGAACAGATGTGCCCATGGAGTTCTGACTCATGGTGACCCCATGTGTGTCAGAGTAGAACTGTGCTCCAGGTAAGAAGTGGTCTCGATAGTCCACAGAGCTCTGGAGATTGCCTCCAGTTCTGGTGTTGTGTGATAGGACATGTATTGGACTGCTAACCGCACGGCCAGTGGTTCAAACCCACCAACCACTCCTCAGAAACCCTATATGGGTTGTTATGAGTTGGAACCAGCTTGATGGCACACAACAACATTTATAGGTTGGGAGGGATTTGGAGAGAAGTTCGCATACCCACTCACCTTATTAGCCATCACATTTCCATTTTGAGTACTCTTCCCTCCTCCCCCTATAGTTCACCCTTCAGATTTTATCATTTTATCAGACGGGCATCAATGAGGGGCAGTATCTGGCCAGAGAACAAGTAGGCAGTGCAACTACCCTCTCTGACTACTTGGTTTAGAAGTTGTTAGTCAAATACTGCAGAAACCTAACCATTGGGCATTTACAGAACAAATATTTCAAGAAGTGTGGTTTCACTGGCCTCTGGCAGAAGACTCATGATGAAGGTCTGTGTTCCCTGAACACATGGCAGAGTGCAGAACAACAGATCAAGGTCACTTTTGGGGGCATTTTGTGCAGCCGCCACCCCATTGCTCATCGTTCACCATGCTTGTTAATGCCTTGTGATGGGTTGTATGCTTCCTAAATATTCATTTATTGTGACAGTAATCAGAGGCTGTCCTATACCATCTCTTTTATTTGTATCTTGAAGTCATTTAACTTTTCACCTACTTAGAGCTAGTTTTAATGAAGTTATCACAAGCATCTTTAAATAAAACTGCACTGCCCATACTGTGTATTCCTCACAGTGCCCCGCAGAGTCTTTTTCAGTGTCCTGTGGTTCACTGCCACTGAGTTGCCCTGGTGTATGGTAACCCCATAAAATGTTTCCCAGTCTGCACCATCCCCAGGATCAGTTGTGGATCCAGTGCTGTGACCCAGAGGGTTTTCATTGGCTGGATTTCAAAGGAGATCTCCAGGCCTGTCTTCCTTGTCTTTTAGTATGAAAGCTTCCCTGTAACCTGTTCTGACAGATGGTGGTGATCATGCATGAAGTCAAATGGCTAGTAATCTAACCCGGGTATCCCACATGGAAGGGGAGAATTCTACGACCACTGCTCATCTCCTTCTTCTGCATAATCACTTGGTAAATGATTCATAATGTGATTTTGCCCATAACACAACAGAATCACACAGTGGCATTACTAGGGTTGTGGGTCATCCAGTGCAATAACTCATGATGTCCCCCCACCATGGATCTCCTCCCAAACCAGACAAAACAGCATCCTTAATAATATCTATTGTTGTTGTTGTTAAGTGCCATCAACTCAATTCTGACCCATAGTGACCCTGTATAAGATTTCCAAGGAGCAGCTGGTGAGCTTGAACCACCGACCTTGAGGTTCAAAGAGACTTTGCAGTCCAGCGCATTAACCTATAGCACCACACCAGGACTCCAGTAATATCTAAACTTATTTGTAATCACAGAATCATATGTGGTAAGTATAGTTATAAATTGCTTACATGTAATATTTCTTAGACAGCATGATAACTAAAGCAGAATTGTTTTATAAACTCTCTACACTGAATTGCATTATTAATTACCACATTATTTAGACCCTGAGTAGACACCTTTTTCAATTTTTTCCTCCTTTCCCTTTAATTACTACTTCATTCTTCAAAAAAAAATGTATTGATATAGGTTCATAAATACTAAGTGTCACAATGTTGTAGCTGCAATACCAGCACATTTGCCAAAATCAATGGCTAGAAACACAGAAATGAAGACAACAGTGTGTGCATGCAGACAAAAACACAAGATTTGAAGCATCACTGTAACTGAGTAATAATGCTAGCTTAGACTGGAGCACATTAGAAAGTCTGAAAAAGTAAATTAGCATAGAGCTGTAGCCTGGTGTGTATTCTGATACATGGATACTAGAGTTATGGTGTGGCGCTGTGGGCTAATGCACCAGACTGCAAAGTTGGTTTGAACCGCAAGGTTGGTGATTTAAGCTCACCAGCTGCTCCTCAGAAACCCTATACAGGGTCGCTATGGGTCAGAACCGACTCGACAGCATGTAACAACAACAACATGCTGGGTTTATGAAAAAAATGTGTGCATTGTTATAACTAACGACAGAAATACTTTCATTAAAAAAAACCCAACCAATTCCTGCTGAAACACTGCAAAAAATGTTTATAAACACTATCCCAAAACACTGATATTTTGGTGTCACCCCACCCAGCGCACTCCCTAGTGACACCACTGGAATCACACTTGAATCCCCTTCGAGAAGTTTAATACAATATGATTGAATTTTAAAAATTGGAACTGATCTCAGAAATCATCATTGTGTAGGTGAAGAAACTAAGACTCAGGAAATAACTTGTCCAGGAGTTTTTCTAGAAAACCATGTTGGCTGCCTTTTAGTGAATTTTCAGCAGTTTGTACTTTCATGGGGCTCCTGGTGTGGGGTGTGAGTTAATGTGCTGAACTTCAAAGTCAGTTTGAACTGCAAGGCTGGCAGTTCAAGCTCACCAGCTGCTCCTGCATAGGGTTTCTGTGGGTTGGAACCAACTCGAGGGCACTTAACAACAACAACTGCTTATATGAGACATCACACCTGGATAGGCTATGGATCTATGATAGAGAAAAAAACCACAGAGAAGCTGTTTTTGTGTACTTTCAAATGGATTCCAACTCACAGCAATCCTATAGGACACAGTAGCACTTCCTCATAGGGTCACAGTAGCACTTCCTCATAGGGTCCTAGACTGTCATCTTCACCGAAGCAAATCACCACATCTTTTTTCCAGTAGAGCCTCTGAGTGTGCTTGAACCACCCATCTCTCAATAGCATTATAGCACTTAACCACTACATCAGCAAGGTTTCTTACTGAGGAGGAAGTAATGTTGAAATACATTGGAATAGTATAAAAGATTCGCAGGAGGTGACTTTGGCAATTAGGTTATATTCTGAATCTATGAGATGGGCTGCTAATATA